TTTCCACACGCTAATGGGGAAAGCATGTGAAGTGATGCCATAGGAAAAGAGTTCTGCTCTACGCCACCTGCAGCCCATTTCGATCGCCAATTGTTCGTTAAGCTTGGAATGTATTGAATCACTTGTTATAGTTTTATTACATAGATGACACATAGATAAAGTACTATTTCCTGGTAAAGAAATAAATACATGCTTCAAATATTCAACACTGTATTTTCGGCGTTTTTTCTTCGACTCATCCCTACTGTTATCTCTTGAAAGGGGAACAAAAGATATAAGAAATTTGCAAATCAACTGTTTAATTTGTAACAAACCACTGTTAATAATTATAAGCAACCACCTTCATTTATAGTTTACTTAGGACCTAAAAATCGCGATTATTTTATTTATCTCAATTTCCATAATAATAAAAACCAATCAAAATTTTATTACTTTATATTAAACCTCACGCGGACCCCCTGACGTTGTTCAGGGATCCCTGAATCAGTTTTTATTTTTCACGGACCCCCTGAATGGTACCACGGACCCCTGGGGGTCCATATGGACCACTATGGGAAACACTGATCTAGGTGATTATACATCTGAAGGAGAGTAAAATGTGCAAACGCAGCATCATGCATGAAACACGCGTCTTGTTGCATTGTGACTGGAACCCATTACTATTGAATGCTGGATTTCAAGGAATCGTTAAAAAATTTTAAATTGTCTTTTATGTTAGCGCTATATATATCATGGAATATGCGTGCTTTAAACTAAGTAAATTTTTTCAAAAAACCATCTTTAATTTTGTCTAGACATGGACATTTTCGAAAAGTAAAGTATTTCAATCTGAAACCATTTCAGACACAACTGGAATGAGGCAAAGCCTCTAAACTGTTTCGTTTCCAATGTAAATAGTATTTGATTCATCTTGAGTTGATCTCCTTAGCCTGGAAAGAGGTTCTACCGGTTCTTTTGCATAATGAGCTCTGGTTGATGTTTGTTTGTGGAAGGAAGAAACCAACCAGTGTTTGCTTATATTAAGAACAATGATGAGGTAAATATTTACATTTTGTGCTTAAGATCGGTTAACAGTTTACTTAGCTACGTAACAAAATATAAAGTTGACTATAGTCAACTTTAATTAAATTAATTTTATTTAGTATTTCTGCATTGCTATGTAAATAATGCATGAAATGACATTACAAATCTATTCTATGTTTTACTGCTTCACAGCAATACAGAAAATTAGGTAAAATTATATCGCCGAATTATTCTACTACCATCCAAATCCTCCTCTTGCTTACGCCAAAAATAAAGAGCAAAGCAAGATAATATCAGAAAATTACAAAATCTAATATTATATAGCATCAAAACTAATGCAAAATAACATTACAGCGAACGCTAGATAATATTAGTTTGCATAGAATCTAATATTATATAATGCAGAAAAAACAGCGACCTCTTGTATCTTTCTAATATTAGAAGTTATGCAAGATAACGTTAGATTTTACCGATTTTCAGATGTTAACTAATACTAGGTACTACTTGGGTAGTTGTCTATTAAATCACACGTTGTTAAGTATAATTTTAAAAAATCGCTAAATTTCTATCTTCTGTTATGTCAGCAAAGGCGTAGCGTTAGGGGGTGCACACGGGGTCACGTACCCCTTTAATAATTTTTCAAAATTTCAGAATTTCTTTTTATTATTACTTTAAAAGTAAAACACCAATAAACTACTTTTAATTTAACAAAAAATTAATAATTTTAGATAGTTTATTAATAATTAAAAAGAAATAATTCTAAATTTATCTCTTTTTTGGCGTAAGTGGTATCTTAAAAACTATTTAAGGAATTTTTTAAAATTATTTCGATCATTACTTATTTATTTTAATGTTAAAATCAGCAAGTATTAATATAGTTTATAAATGTGGTTACTAGTTATTTATTTCAATTTATTACACATTATTATTTTTTCAATTACAATTGTTTTCTACTAACATTGTGTTATAATTTTTGAAGACTGTTTATTTTTTGTACCTTTCGAAAGATTTTAGAATCATTTAAAGTTATTCTTGTTTGAACAACTTTCAGTTTATTTGGAACTTTAAATTTTTATTCGGATTTGCTTCAGGTTTAAATTTTTAAGTAAAATATTATAAAATACCTATTCGTATTTTTTTTAATAATTTTTATCTAATAAGTTCCACTTCTTACGAAATATCCCCTTTACATACAAACATTTTAAATACAAATATTTTAAATGTAGCGTATCAATTTTTCGGCATATTTCAATAGAATGTGTTCTAAACTATTTTATTTGATTATCACATAACTTTTAAAAACCAGCCACTGCACTTGAAATATCGGATTGCACTAAATTCATAAAAATATTAAAAAGTGGCACATTATTGCACATAGTAAAAATGTTATTCTTTAAAACTTTAAGGGAATTTCGTATCAAGAAATTACGATGTTAAATAATTGATGTACACAATGATGGATCTTTTTTTCTCATAATCTTCCGAGTAATATCCAAGTCAAAATTCTTGATGGTCCCATCAAAACATTTTGATGGTTATGTTGGTTTCAATGCGATACATGATGGTTCAACATCATTTGATGATCACCATCATCCAACACTTTCCATTATGCGTTCAAGGTTTTTGATATACCCACAAACTTCCATCAATTCATGATGTAAAATGCTACTTTAATATTATGATGGTTAGCCATCAAGAGAAGTTTGATTCTCATGGAACAACAATCCATGATGATCCGTGATGGTCCATGATGGTTCCAACTATACATTTCCATGACGGTTTAATTGGAATTCTTGTTGGTTCTCAGGAATATTCCATCAAAACAATTTGGTTTCTTTTTACATTGGACAATCAGTCTCAATTCCCACTTTGGGATGATGGTTATTCATGAACATTCCAACATTTGATTTCTAAGATACTATGATAGGTGATGGTCCATAATGGTGCAACAATGCATTTCCATATGGTTTAATAATAATTTTTGTTGGTTCAGCAGGAAAATATCATGAAAAAAAATATTTTTTTATGTTGGTCCATCAAAAATCAGTCCGAATTCCTATATTGGGGTGATGGATGTTCATGATCGTTTCAGCATTTGATTTCTAAGAAACTATGATAGGAATTTCTGATGGTTCAACATGAGCAAACCATCAAAACAAGTTGCTATTCTTATGTTGGATAGTTACTTATGTTGGTTACCATCAAGAAATATAATGGTTCATGATGGAATTATTGATGGTAACCATCAAGATTCTGTTGAACCAGCAATGGAAAACCATCAAAAATTTTGACTTTGATAGTTAACAACGAATTAAAACTGTAAAAACTTACTCGCGCTTTGGGTAAATCGATCATATCACTAATTACAAGACTAGATTTATATTCTGTGACAGTAAGAAATGCGTCTGTTCTTGTATTACTTTTAAACCACAACTTCTTGTTTAAAAATTAAGATAAAACATAACTCCCATAAAACCAATTTCCAAAGATTTATTTAAATAAGTAAATATTAGTATATATTAGAAAAATATAGGAATGAAAAGTTAAAAGAAATCAATACAACAAAACTTTTTCATAATTAATTCTTTAATAAACACTTAGAAACTAAGAAAAGTTTCATATTCTCATTCCTCAATAAAGAATTGCAGAATGCACAAAAAAATAATAAATAAAAAAAAATAAAAATAATAAAATGAGATGTGCTAATATACAAATATGTTAATTAGTACATATATGTTAATTAATAAGTACGTAATTTTTATAATTTTTATTTGTATAGTTTTTTTGCATGGATTTATTTTTGGATAAAAGAATTTTGTAAGTGTGTTTCAAAAAGTTTTCAAAAATATTTCCCGACTTGCTGCTGCCCTCCGTATTTTGGGGGTCAGAAATCCAAATCTTTCGTAACAAAAAAGGTGTGTTTGTCCTGAGAAAGTACGTATTTGAGTCTCATTTCATAACTTACAAAATCGCCTGCACTAATTATCTAGCATAATTGAGGTCACCTTCTCAAACCATTAAGATTGGGTCTTAGAAAGTGAAGATCTGATCATTAAACAAAAGTTATTCAAGGTGTTCATTTTTCACATCACGTCAATTTAAACCTTACACAATAAGTGGTTAATAATGACAAATTTTTCCATGGTATTTTTAACTTTAAGAAAAGAAAATATGAATATTTAGACTTGACATGGTTTTACAATACGCCTTGAATACATTACAGAATCCGTCATCTCGCACGAAAGTTTTTTATTATTGCAAATTTACTACCTACTGACTCCTCTGTGACGGAAAATTACTCTTAAAAAAGTATATGAAATTTTCTATGTGTATTTCTTTACAGATATATTATATATAAAAAGTTCACAAAGTCACTGCCTTCGGGACTTTACGTGTTTTTATATAAATTAGACTTTTTTCAAAATTTCAATAAATAATTCCATTTATATATGAACATTTTAGGATAATAGGATAACAAATATTAAAATGAAACATTTTTAAAATGAACGTGTTGCAAAAAATTATTTAAAGGAATAAATAAAAAATGAAATTTCTCAATTCAGAACTCTCTAACTACGGTAACGTTTTACATGTTTTCATCAGTAACTTGTGGATGTTTATAGGGGAAGAAAGTACGTTAGTTTTTTCATTGATTTTAAAACAGATTCAAAAATTTTAATTTAGGGAACTATATTGAACTCAAAACTGCACTAAATATAATTCTTAAAGAAACGGCATAAAGATATTTTTGACAATTAAATGTGACAATAATGTTAATTTCTTTGCCACTTTTGATAATTAAACGTAGTGCATTCCTATGCAACTGAGCAAAGGAGGAGAGGGAAGGGAGAAGAGCCTGGACATGGAACCGGTATAGGGTACTCGAGCGTTGTGATCGAGAAGAGTACTGAAATCTGCAAACGCGGTTTATTCAGTTTTATCAGTTTATGTTTCCAATGTTAATGTTGAATCTCATAGTCTATTTTATAAACGAGGAATGGCATCAATATGAAGTGATAACGATTTTTGATTAAATTTTCACTTTTCTAAACAATTTTGTAGTGTTTACAAATTTTAGACGAATAATTATCAAAATTCTATTAAATATCCTCCAAAAGTTTTGCTTACCATGGCTCGAGAATATGACCATCTTTTTAAACTGCTTATTATAGGCGATAGTGGTTCGTATTGTATCCTGTGTTTGACAACATAGAAATGATTTTTTGCTAAATAAAATAATAATACAGATTATTTTATATTATTGAATATTGTATACTTTTCTGTAGCTTTGTATGAATGATATTTTTTTGTACACTTTTATCTCATTTTTCCAATAAATATTTAATGGTCGGTATTAAGTTTTAAAGGACACGGTAATAACATATTTTTCTTGAAGTTTCATGTATTTACTATAATTTGCTATGTGTTCTAACATTGCATTTAATACTATGTTTAAATCAATTAATTTCTAGTTCCTCGTTTATCTAAATTTCATCTATTATAAGTTTGACAAACGTATAGGACCATTTACAAAGAAAATACGTCCTTTATTCATTATTATTTTTTTCTCATTGTTGGGACAATGAATTGAAGTAAATATGGGAAACAGGTGCTTTCCTTATCATTTAATTTCCTTAATAAATTAATGGCCGGGATCCGCTACTATTTTCGTTTAGTAGAAAAACAGGGAAAAGTTATGTTGTGGGTCAAAGCTATTTAATCAAAAATTGATTGGTGCTTTTAGATTCTGTTCAAAATGACTTACAAGCACGTAAGTAATTTTCTTTACTCATATGCAGGTAATAATTATTAAATAAATAAAAGTCTTGTAAATCAATATATCATTCTTTGTATAAAGTTAATTGCCCTGAGGTAAAAGGTACTTAATTTATTGTAGGGGTTCCTTAATAATCTACCATTCTTAAGTTAATGCTTAATTGATTNCCAGACATAAAATTGTGGCAGAGTTTAGGCTCATTATTGGCCATCAAAAAGAACCTCGCTGTTAGAACAATTCAAAAGTCTTGGAAACACAAATTATCTCCAGTCTCAAGACAGCCCAGACATAAAATTGTGGCAGAGTTTAGGCTCATTATTGGCCATCTAAAAGAACCTCGCTGTTAGAACAATTCAAAAGTCTTAGAAAGACAAATTATCTCCAGTCTCAAGATAGCTCAGACATAAAATGGTGGCTGAGTTTAGGCTCACCATTGGCCAAAAATTGTCCCTCGAAATGCTTGCAACGCATCCGCATAGTTTCAAGTTCTATCTGCAGTCTCTATCATCTGGGACGTATGGTGCCATCTCGTCCTATGCCGACGCTTTAACTAAACGTTCTCTTGTGGACCACTACTATGAGACCAGGGACCTTTTCTGATTCATAGACTATCTCAGTAGCTGCTTCTCCTATTTTCCATTTTTTTTCCTCTCCGTATTTATTCTTATATGGTTCTTTGTATTTATTGCTGTAATTGCCTTTAAATCTTGTCATTACAAATAAATAAATAAACAAAAAGTATAAGTTTAAAACTGTCTTTAAACTTATTTGAAACATCATTTATTTTCTACAATGTATCATAACTTTGATGACACCTCCAGCATGTGTAAAAGCTATTTCAAATTTTTTTAACAATCTGCACAGTAAGATCATCCGGTAGGTCTACTGGTGTGTCATAAATTAGCGATTTAAAGCGACCCCATAAAAAAGGTCGCACGGATAGAAAGCGTGACCGGACATTTGCAGCAATTCATGGAGGACCTGTTGTAGAAAAATACGGTACGTTGCTGCATGCGACTATTTTTTTCGATTTTTACCTTCTCGGCGTGGTTTGTATACTAGGGTAAGTTTTATTTCTCCTTATGCCCTTTATCATTCCTATTAGTTTGTCGGTCGAATTTCGGAAGACTCTGTGTATGCCCTGGATTTTAAAAAAAAAATTTCGAAAAACATTCTAAAATTTAAAAAAAAAAATTTAATTTTAAAAAAAATTATAAATTTTTGAAAAAAAAATTTAAATTAAAACTGTAAAAAGCTTTAAAATTAACCATAATTATAATTTAAAATCTATCGATTTTTCTTTGAAGTCAGTGTTCGATCAGTGTTTGATCAGTGTATCGATCAGTGTTTGAAGTATCGGGCAAATATATATAGGGCAATGGCACTGAACCTTAAAAAAACACCAGTGTAGGATATACCGGGCAGTGGCACTTAACTAGACCTAGTATATATTTCGGACATTTACCAAAGGTCTAGTCATACTAGATCTAGTTAAGTGCCACTGCCCGGTATATCCTACACTGGTGTTTTTTTAAGGTTCAGTGCCACTGCCCGATATACATTTCCCCGGTATACCCTACACTGACGTTTTTTTTTAAGGTCAAGTGCCATTGCCCGGTATACATTTCCCCGGTATACCCTACACTGATGTTTCTTCTAATCTATCGTCAGTAAAAATTAAAATATCTAATAAATGTAATTATATCCACGAATAAATTAATATCAAATCGGATGTAATAAATATTTCAGATTTTCACCAAAGCGAGTATGTGATTGTCAACATTCACCGATGAAAGTCAACAACCACTGATTTCGGTCAATCACAGTAACATGCGCATCATCTACATAATAACCTCATCAGAACGTTTATTTCATACTTTTCCAGTTTCTCATTTGGCATTCTATATAATGCCTAGGCAATGTGGGAAATATAAATCATTTCATACTTTGCCGGCTAGTTTTAGGCATTATATAGTATGCCTAGGCATTCTATATAATACCGGATTTCATGCTTTGCCGGTAGCATATATATTATATTACTAAAACAATAGCATGCAATCGAAACATTTCCTTCAAGTTACACCTATATAATGTCAGTGCAATAGGTAATGTTAATTTGGCATACAGGTGAATCACTCGCTGCAAAAAAATATATAAAAAACAGCAATTTGTCCTTCATTGTGTTATCTCTTTAAATGCCTTAAAATTAGCGTATTTTGCACTAAATATCGTTTTCTAATAAAAGTTTAAATATTTTTTTATTGATATATTAGTATTTTTATTAAAAAATATATAATATTCACTTGTTAATATGAATTCTGTTTAAATGAATGCCTCGTCGCAAAAATCATAAAACGTTCACAAAGTCACTGCCTACGGGGCTTTACTTGTTTTAGTCTAAATATGACTTTTTCAAAATTTCCCTAAATATTTCTATTTATGAAGGAAAATTTCAGGATAATAGTACAACAAATATTAAAATGAAGTATTTTTAAAATTAATCGCATGTTGTAAAAAAAATTATTTAAAAAAATTATTAAAGAGATAAAATTTCTCAACTCAGAACTTTCTACCTATGGTAACATTTTGCATGTTTTCATCAGTAACGTAAGAATGTTCATAGGAGAAGAAAGTACGTTAGTTTTGTCCTGATTTTAAAGCAGATTAACAAATTTTAATTTAGGGAACTATATTGAACTCAAAACTGCATTAAACATAATTCTTAAAGAAACGTCATAAAATTTTAGAAGATATTTTTGACAATGAAATGTGACAATAATGTTAATTTTTTTGCCAATTAATCGTTATATATTCCTATACAACTGAGCAGAGGAGGAGAGGAAAGGGAGAACTACCTAGACATGGAACCGGTCTTCTCCCCAGATAGCGTACTCGAGCGTTGTGATCGTGCTGAACTCTGCAGACTAGGTTTATTCAGTTCTATTAGTTTTTGTTTTCAATGTTAATGTTAAATCTTGTCGTCAATTTTATTAACGAGGAATGGCATCAATATGAAGTGATAACGATTTTTGATTAAATTTTCACTTTTCTAAACAATTTTGTAGTGTTTACAAATTTTAGACGAATAATTATCAAAATTCTATTAAATATCCTCCAAAAGTTTTGCTTACCATGGCTCGAGAATATGACCATCTTTTTAAACTGCTTATTATAGGCGATAGTGGTTCGTATTGTATCCTGTGTTTGACAACATAGAAATGATTTTTTGCTAAATAAAATAATAATACAGATTATTTTATATTATTGAATATTGTATACTTTTCTGTAGCTTTGTATGAATGATATTTTTTTGTACACTTTTATCTCATTTTTCCAATAAATATTTAATGGTCGGTATTAAGTTTTAAAGGACACGGTAATAACATATTTTTCTTGAAGTTTCATGTATTTACTATAATTTGCTATGTGTTCTAACATTGCATTTAATACTATGTTTAAATCAATTAATTTCTAGTTCCTCGTTTATCTAAATTTCATCTATTATAAGTTTGACAAACGTATAGGACCATTTACAAAGAAAATACGTCCTTTATTCATTATTATTTTTTTCTCATTGTTGGGACAATGAATTGAAGTAAATATGGGAAACAGGTGCTTTCCTTATCATTTAATTTCCTTAATAAATTAATGGCCGGGATCCGCTACTATTTTCGTTTAGTAGAAAAACAGGGAAAAGTTATGTTGTGGGTCAAAGCTATTTAATCAAAAATTGATTGGTGCTTTTAGATTCTGTTCAAAATGACTTACAAGCACGTAAGTAATTTTCTTTACTCATATGCAGGTAATAATTATTAAATAAATAAAAGTCTTGTAAATCAATATATCATTCTTTGTATAAAGTTAATTGCCCTGAGGTAAAAGGTACTTAATTTATTGTAGGGGTTCCTTAATAATCTACCATTCTTAAGTTAATGCTTAATTGATTACTTGGTTGTTTGTCATGGAACAAAGAAGTTGAAATTTGAGTGGCTTTGCAGTAAATTTATAAAATTAAGTTGGAATTCAAACTAATATATTACAGGGTTCGTTGATTTAAATCAGCTTGATTTAAATCATGATTAAAATCAAATGATTTTTTTAAAAAAATCATTGATTTAAATCAACTGATTTATATATATATTATATTGATTTTAAACGTTAAAAAACAGTGCTTTAAATTATTGATACTTTTATTATTTTCTTTTCTTAGTTTTAAAATTTATTTTAATTAAATTGCTGCATTAATTAATTTTAGTTAACGAAGTTACTTTCTTTCTTGGAGTGTGTTAAACACATTTAAAATTACATGTTTAAATATCTTTTGATTCTTAACATTGAAAGTACAGATTAAAGTAAATATTTAATGCTGTCTTAATATAGACTTGCATAGCTGTAGAAAGTAAATAAACATGCTTTTTTTTCAAAAAGCAAATGTTAATTAAAATTCTACCTTTTGATTAAAAAAGCATGAAATTCAAATCTACATTATAGTTTATTGATGGAAATTTCTATATTTCTAAAGCTTGAGGTTATATTAAAAAGAAATGACCTTAATATGCCAAAAATAGAGGAAAAAAAAAGCTGAGTTCAGATATTTTTTTCCTGATATAGTGTCATTCTTCCCTATCAAAATCTATTTGAAGCAGTAGGGTTATTAACTGGTTTTTATTTTTCTTCTCATAATATGTTTACGGTATCTTTGAAATTATCAGATTTTCTTTTGTGAAAAAAAAATTCCAATGAGTACATAAATTTTTTTAAAAATGTTTTTTAGCTTAACTTATGTATTTTGATAAAGGATTAAAAATGAATATTTTAACATAAAAATATATAGATTGAATATTTATTTTTTGATGAATAACAACATTTATAAACACAATCTGTTGCATTTATTTTGCCATTTTGTAAATCATGAGAAAATAAAGAGATCACAATTTTAAATTAAAATTATGCTGTGCTAATTGAAACTTTGTGTTATTAGTTAAAGCAGTATTCTTTAAATTATCTATTTTATCTTGTCTTTTAATTTCAATCATGCCTTTGTATCAAAATGGTCGCTATGCATTATAATGAAAAATTATTTTAGTAAGTTAGAGCTTCTAAAATATTGTTATAATATAGTTTTAATATTAATTTAATTTTGATTAAACATTTATAAAGTTTTTTTGATCATAAATTAAAGCTCTTATAGTGTATTTAAATAAAAATCAAAAAAATCTGATTTAAATCAAAAAAATCTGATTTAAATCAAAATAATCCGATTTTTTTTTTATTTTTTAAAAAAAAATCCAAAAAATCACGAACCCTGATATATTATCTGTGCACTAAAATTCATGGCCATGATACAAATAATGAAATAAAAAATCTAAAAGAATTATTTTATTAAGTAAAATTTTTTTTGTTTTTCTGTTCATCAAATATTCATATGCCTATATTTTCTCTAAAATTTTTCAAACACAACAGATTCAAAAATTTTATTTCCTAATGCAGTGACCTGTGTCGTCCCTCATTTCAGTAAATTTTCTAGTTAAATCGGTTGACTAGCTTAAATATTTTCTTTTTTGTATACTTCTTGCATTTTACGGAGGTATGGTTTTCTTAAAACGTGTCTTTCAAACAAACAAAAAATTTACTTATTTTACACGACTTGGGTTATCTTTAAACTGTTTTCTTATTTTGGTATAGATCATTTCCTCTAAATGTTTTATTAACCGTATACATTATCAATTTTGAAGGTTTAAAAAATATTACTTACTGCTAAAATAAAAATTTAAAAAGCTGAAATATCTCATGTTTTACAAAATTTATGTGCAAATTTTAGAATTTAGAATAATTTGCAAGGTTTGGAAAACATCAATAATTTGAGGAAATCTTCATGGAAATTTGCACCACAACGAATTATCCTACTTTAATTATGGTTATAGGTACCTAATATACTAGTAATGCTATATTACACCTTCCCTTTTGTGAAATAGATAAGTATTGAATTATGTAGTGAATTGTATATATTAATAATATGAACAATTCACTACCTAAAAATATATATTAGATAAGCACTTTTATTTATTAGTAATAATTATAATAAGTACTTTTATTTATTAGTTTTAATTATAAGTAATTTGATTATACTTCTAATTGATAAGTATTGAATTATAAGTTACAATTCTGTAGTGACAAGATTTGTAAATTTATGAACTAAATTACACAGCAAATTATAACATAAAGATATACAAGAATAGAGTAGAAGAAATTAAAATTATCATTTATTTGAAAAGCTATATTTAAGTGTTATACTATCCATGTTACTATTATAATATTAACTTATCCATGTTGGCAGCTATATATATCTATTAATAGCTTTAACCTGAGGACAATTTGATCAAGTGAATTAAGTTTTGTGTCCTTTTACACATTTAGTAGTATTTTAACAAATATATAATGTAGCGGAAAAAAATTTCATATATTTTTTAATATCTTAGATAGATTTCTATGAGGTTAGAAGAAAAAAAGCTATTTTCTAGTTTTAAGGTATAAATAACATTTTGTGCTGTTATAGAACAGTTGTGGCATGTTTATACTGTTGTTTTTATTTATTTACGGTCATAAGAAAAACATCTTGTTCCAACTAGAAAATATTTTTTCTTAAAGATATCATAAAAATCATCTTAAAATTTGCACAGACACTAAAAAATCTAATTTTAATTTTGAGTTTTTAAAAAAATAACTTTAAACCATGTTTAAATTTTACAAAATATCTTTAAAATATTAACAAAATGATGCAAAATAAGTCACATGGCTCTAATGTGACATTTATTTAAAAATTATTAAAGTAAAACTCAAAAGCAAAATGTTCAAAAAGTCTGAAACTTGTTATTTTTCAGGTCAGGAGAAGGTTTAACAAACATTATAATCAAAATTATTAACATAAAATAAAGATAATATTTGACCTATCTGTGATACTTGCATTAATAAACACTTTTCGTTCTAGGAGTTGGGAAAAGCAGTCTGCTTTTGCGCTTTGCTGACAATACTTTCACAGGTTTGAATTTTATTTTTTTTAGTTAAAAGTAAAATCTATGAATTAAATTTGTGTGTGTGTTTGTTTTTTCTTCTTTTTTTTGTAATGATAGTGTATATAATCTTAAAACACTTATAGTTATTAAAAGTTAGGAATGTACTATTTGCTTCAATGTAATTTTCTATTATATTGATGCAACATATTTTCCTAATATTCCATTTAACAGAATTATCAAAATATTCATAGGATGTATTTATATTTTACTAATTTATTCTTTATGTTTAGCTGTTAAAATTTAGTAAAAAATTTACGCTTTGAATTACGCAAAAAAAAAAAATTATAATAATGAATTGTTCATGCTTTGATATGAAAATGTAAAAGATTGATGATCCTTACTAATTTTTTAAATTAAATTAATTTCAAAGTTTTTTTTCTTTTCAATTTTAAACACTAAACTAAAAGTTAGATACATAAAAAAAAAATTAAAATTTATCAGATAAGTCTCCTTAAATTTCTATTTTTTTATAATCTAATTTCTATGCATCCACTTACAAAGAAAATAATTTCTTTTTTCAATAATTNTTGTTAAAATTTAGCAAAAAATGTGCGCTTTGAATTAGGCAAAAAAAAAAATTTTAATAATAATAATTAATTGTTCATGCTTTGATATGAAAATGAAAGATTGATGATCCTTACTAATTTTTTAAATTAAATTAATTTCAAAGTTTTTTTTTTCTCAATTTTAAACACTAAACTAAAAGTTAGATACATAAAAAAAAATTAAAATTTATCAGATATGTCTCCTTAAATTTCTATTTTTTTATAATCTAATTTCTATGCATCCACTTACAAAGAAAATAATTTCTTTTTTTGATAATTTCAGGCAATTATATTACAACAATAGGGGTTGATTTTAAGATAAGAACAGTTGAAGTCGATGGAGAAAGAGTGAAACTTCAAATATGGGATACTGCCGGACAAGAGAGGTTCAGAACTATAACATCTACGTGAGTAAATTTCATAAAATGTCATTTTATCAACATTGTTTTTATACTACTTGAAAAGGCTTTAAGAAGATGTATTGTAGAGTTAAATTCTGATAAAAGCTGGTGATTTTATTTTATTTAAATCTGATTTTTTATTTTTTGAAGTCATTTCAAGAAGTATAGTGTCCTGCAGTGGGCGATCGTTAAGACAAGGTTCCCCAGCAGATCACTGAAGTCAAGCATCACTGGCTGCGGTCAGTGTGCGAGTGGGTGACCACTTGGATCAGTCTGCATAGGGACCGAAGATGTGCGATATTGGTCCTCGTTAAACTGTTCTACCGTAAAGTGCTCAACTTTGCGTGCAGGTTGTCGGGCTACCGAAGCGGGGTGCCATCCCCTCTGCAGAGGATCAAAATTGTGATTGCATGTCTTCGGATCATCCTCAGAGATGATTCCCAAACCGTCGCCAATAGCCCATTGTGCAATTCTAGTGTGACATAAATGAACTACCACAACAACAAGAAGTATAGTTTATAATAAATTAAGTGTTTTAATTGAAATATCATTAAAAATAAATCATAATGCATTTTAAACTATATTACTAAACTAAATTTTTTTATTTTATTTTATAACCGTTGTTGAACAGCCAACCCAATTTTTGGGGTTTACGACTACTAATTTTTAACTCCGTAGCCTTGTAATTTTTAACCCAATCCAGAAGACAAGGGAACTCCTGGATCAAGTATTAGGAGAAATTGCCTTCGTGGAGGAATTTTTGATGAAACTAACCCGCATTAGCTTTACATTGTGAGGAAAATCGCAAAACCTCCCACGGTTAGCCTGATGGCAAGGGGACTCTAACCCATGATCGGTCTACTACTGAGGATATTTTACAGCAGCACTGTGGTTGATGCAAGCCAGATGCGGAATTCGTATTGATTAGCCACCGTAGGAATTCGAACTCCATTCACCTCATTAGAAACAAACCCTCAAAACTCAGGTGGAAGTTTTTTCTAACCCTGGCATATATATTCTTTTATAATCATTTACCTTGTCATAATTTAATTTGTTTTATCCATATGCATAATTTTTTTATTTCTATTTTAGATATTATCGAGGCACTCATGGTGTGATTGTCGTATACGATGTGACGAATGGCGAATCTTTTGGTAATGTAAAACGATGGCTACATGAAATAGACCAAAACTGTGAAGTTGTCAATAGGATATTAGGTATTGTGTAATACTTCCAATGCATTCCAAAAGAAATAATTTTAGACCATTTCTTCATGTTTTGTCCAAAAAATGTCTACCATAAAGCTCAGTCATTGTAGTTACTTAAATACCTTATGTTAAATGTTCAAATTATGAAAATGCTACATGTGTTGTGAATTTTCACCACTCAGAGATCTGTCCAGACATTTTGTGAAAGGTCCTATTTTTGTAAAATTGTAAAAAAAACTTCTCATAATTTGTAATTATAAAATAAGCGTTAAGTCACATTCTTTCAATCGGGATCCTGCTTTTGTGAATTTGTGCAAATAGGGTCCTGTTGTCGCAAAAATTGCTAAAACTTTTTCAAAAGGTTTTTAAATTGTAAATAGATACAAGATTCTGCGTAACAATTGCTGCTACTAAATTAGAGATGCAACATACAAATATTTGGTATTTAGCTTATACTGCTCAACACAGTATATTCATTTCGGACGAATAATGGAAACAAAATCTCTCACATTTTTAATAATTTCAATTGACATATTTTAAATAACACAATTTAGTAATGTATCACTTTTAATGTGTTATGCATTAAGTAAATTTAAACAATTCTTAAATTTATAATTTATTTACAAAATTGTAAGAAATTTATTTTTCTTTACATAATATTTTTTTAATTAATTTTGTGAATAAATATAAATTGATCAATTATTTATTCACACGATGTTTGTAAATATAGAAATATTTTCTTAGAATTCTGTATTTGGAATTTAAACTTATGGAAACTTAGAAAACTTAGTTCCTTTTAAATTGTCTTTCTTTCTCCCCCCCCCCCCCCCCTGGAAGGGTTTATTCCATTAACAAAACAATACTGAAAATAAACAAATTTGTGAAGGGTCTGATTAAAAGATCAATTATTTTGTGACGGTCTGTTTTTATGAAAAGATATTTTGTGAAGGGTCCGTTAACGGACCCAAATATCTTCTGAACGGACCCCTGCCACTGTTTGTGTAGATATTCAGAATTTATTTGAAAAAATTGTTTTTTGTATTTTTATCAAAGTAGAAGCTTAGTTATGAAGTAAATTATTCAGATTTATTTTTTATCCTTTTTAAAACGGCTGTCGAAACTATAAACGGTGATATGGTTCTACATACTGTCATCCCATTTATTGATGATAAAGCTTACCTGTGTGTGCCACTCTTCAGTCCTAGGGACTGAAATCAGTCTTAAGGGAAAATCAGTTGATTAAGTTTCATAAATTAATATCTCTTTTACCATTTATTTTTAAGATTAAAATTTCAGTTTTTCCTTGAAAATGTAACAAATATTTCCTGTTATAACTCAGTAATGAAATAATGAGATTGAACTTCAATGCTACTTGCTTAAACAAAATTTGTACTATTGTATCTCAATTTTCTTGTTTTTATTTTTCCCCAACATTTTGAAATGATGGCCAAAGTTAAAGTGACATTTTCAAAAAAAGAGAGAGAGAGAGAGAGAAACATAGAGATGGAGCAAAACATAAATAATGGTAAAGTGCAAAATAAGAAGTGATATGTATAGTTTCATGAGAAAAAATATGTATATAGCTTCATGTAAAAAATAAATTAAATAAAATTAAAATTACATAATTGATTTAAAATGAGCTCTTATCATAGAAAGTTACATTTTGGAGTCAGTGAGCTCTAAATTTTTGATAAAATTGTAGTAAACAACTCTTGATTGTGTTAATTGGTCAAATAAATAAATTCAATTTTGAAATATTTTTAGAGTGGCCCCCATGCTTACCTTTTCCAAGCAATAGAATATTTATCTGTATACATTATATCATACTCAAGTTATGGTTCTAGATGTATGTGAGAAAGTAGTGCAGCATGTAATGGAGCATTTGGGATGAGTTTTCTATCTTATCGCGAAACAGTGATGAAAATTATTCAAATACTTCTGTTGTCTAACCCTGTGGCAGAATTTTTTCGGGCTTTCTGCAACATACCTCTCTAATACAGTAGAGAACCGATTATCCGAAACGATCGGGACCGTCGCGATTCCGGATAACTGATTTTTCCGGTTTTCTGAAACGCTACAAAATGCCGCTTTTTTAATGTTTATAAAGCGAAACTAAAAAATTATTTTGAAATAGTTTTAGAAATAATAAAAAATGATAAATAATAATACACTTAAGTTTAAAAAAGGAAAGAAATTATGAAATAAAAATTATATACAGGCTTATATATGTTATTATTAACATTAATAGCATGTATGAGCTATTCGTGCTTATGTGAGATTCGTCTACAAACTGCTTTTGATCCATCCTCTAAATCAGTTCTTTCGTCAACTCGATACGCCGTACGCTCTAAATGACAAAATGAGCTCAAAATCTTGCATGAAAAGAAAATTTTTTTTAATGGAGGAAAATTCATTTCCGATTCCGAATTTCATTCTGGTTTTCCGGTTTTCTGATTTCCGGATAAGAGGTTCTGCACTGTACTAATATCTTTCTGCAAGATACTTAAAAATCACAGATATGCATGTTACTAATTTAAAGTAACAACAGCGTTTACTTCAAATAAGTAAAAAAATCGGATCAAATAAAATAATTTTTTTAATTGAGTATGTAACATTTCTTTTTTATTCTAATAGAATGGCCGGTATTCTCGCATTTTGTAGGAAGATAACACGCTAATTATTTCCTTTTTTCTCATTTTGTAATTCATCATCGCATTAAAAAAATAAAGATCGTGAAATCTGTAGCAGTAACTATCAAGGAAAAAAGATCGATGACAAAGTCACATGAATTGGACTCTTCAAAAAAGGGTTGCTAAATGCGTGTTTTCATTTCGAGTTTCAGTTGTAATAAATAATATCGTATTACAAATATCGGATTTTAAAAGCTGTGTGGTAATAACTGCATAAAAAATAGAACAAATATTTCTGCAGAAACAAAAACCAGATTTTTTACTTTATTTTTCATTATTCTCAATAAGAATCGTAAAATCACAAGCATTTTTTCCCCACTCTGATGTACGAGAAAGGCATCTTTTGAATATAATTCTGAAAAAAAGATAAAATCTTTTGAAAATTTGTGCAAAGAAAAGCAAAATTTATTACTTCCCAAAGGAAAAATCTTTATTCAAGAACTCTAACATTCTGCACAATGTCGCCACAGGGTTTTCGAATATGATATAATGCCTCGAACTCATATTTATTGTGGTTTGTGTGATTTAATACCTACCAGACAGATTTTAAATTGCTGAAGTTAAATTCATAAAAAACTTTGACAATATCGTGGACATTTCTAAAAAATAGTTAAAATTGAAGTCCAAGTACTTTTGAGCTGGCAACAGATAGACGGTAACAAGATCTCATTTATTGTTTATAACTTATTAAGATGTTAGGATCAGAGATGGAGTTGAGGAATTACGATATTTAAATACAGTTGTGCTGTGCATTTGGCTTTTTCCATTGGAAGTTTATATGTTGTACAAGATAATTTTAATAGGTGATCAAAGTGGTTGCTAATGATGACTAGTTTTATAAATTTTCTCAGAAGTCTTCTAAAATTTTATGGTTTGTGGAAATAAATGAAAGAAATGAGTTACAATATATCATAAATTAAAAATTCCATAAAATTTATGAAGTTTATTAAATCAGCATCTGACGTATTGTAAATATGAATGAAAATTTTATCAAATAAGTCCTTATATAAATTTTTATTGAATTAGAACCATAAATTGTATCATTTTATGGAACTTTTAAAAAAAAAACTTCATTTCCTCAACTATACAATTTTAGGAATTTGTTTTTGACTGTGTTTCTATAAAGATTTTTTTAAAAAATATATATAATATTTTTCCCATCTATTTAACCATTTCACAGAATCAAAATTTTTAAAGTAATTTAATTTGTCCAAAATAAAAAGATATTTGTTCTTTTGCATCTTGTTCTTACATTTTATCGATAAAAAAAAACGTTTATCAATAAAGCATTCTTTGTGTTTTGGAAAATAATAAAGATTTATTGTAAAATTTTATGCAATAACTTTGTTCTTAATGACTGGTGTGTTCTAATGATTTTATTTCCCTTTCAATTTTTATTCCTATTATTTTTTAGTTGGCAATAAAAATGATGATCCTGATAGAAAAATAGTTTTAACTGAGGATGCACAACGATTTGCCGACCAAATGGGCATTCAGTTATTTGAAACAAGTGCAAAAGAAAATATCAATGTTGAAGAAGTGAGCTTTGCTTTTTAGTACTTGCACTAAATGTTTTCTTATTTTTGAACTTAATAATAAGTGATCATTGATAAAAAAAAAATAAATAAATAAATAATTACCAACAAAAATACTTTTGAGTGGTAACTTATAAATTTTTCTTTTAATGTATATGAGTGTACACTTTTGAGTAAGATGATAGGGGTTTTACATTCTGATAACATTCAAGGTACATTTACATTCAAGATATAAATGAATTAACTGACTATCAAATACATTCAACTCAAATAATCTTGGTTTAAAAAAAATTTCAGTTTATTTCTTTTTAAATGTGTCTATAATGATACATTTAGTTTAGTTGTTTTTAAAATACATTTTAGCACTGCTTTTCTGAACCTAACTGAAACCACTGGTTAATAATTTAAATGAAAATAATTTCAGGTATTTAAAATCAATATGCCGGGCACAATTTCATCGACTTGCGAATAGCAAAATGCCATTTAAAATGGCCAAATGCTAGTTACAAACAAAAAATGCAGAAGCAAAAATTGCTAGTAACTTCTGGTAATCTGGATTTTTTATTGTTTTTCCATCTTTATTTATCTTAATTTTTCAAATTCCAATATTTTTTGTATGATATTATGACACACGAATTTCAAATTATAGAATTATCACTTCTTGGCATTCTCAAATAACGAGGATTCCATCGTTTTTGTTTTGCAACATTAATAGTTTTTTTTGGTGAACTCCACAAGATATTTGAAAAATTCTGTTTTTTTTTAATACAATGATATTTCGACACTCGCAGTTTGAATTTGAGTAATCACATTTTGATGCGCATGATTCGCGGCTATTCCGTCATTGAATTTCTTTGTTTTCTGATCGTTTTCTCAGAAGTTAAAACTGACTAACTCTCTGGCATTACAGTCCATGTTGGACCCTGGCCTCACTAACAATTTTTCTCCAAAATCGCCTGTCTCTAGCTCTTTGTTGTCAGTTTTGGATCTTTAGAATCTTGAGGTCTTTTTCCACCTCGTCTAACCATCTCTTGGCCGGCCTTTTCCTTTGGCACTGGCCCTTGAATATCTTGTTTACCTCCATTCTCTTAAGGTGCCCTAGCCATTGAATTCTTTATGCTTTTACATAATTGATTATATCTTTTTCTTTGAATAGTCTTAAAATTTCGAAATTTGTATTCTCTCAGCGATTACTTTAGCTATTTCTTGTTTTCACAGCATTTTTACATGCTCATATAAATTTCAATACTTGGAATGCAATGTCACTTCAACACCCAAATATCGAATTTGAGTAATCACTTCTTGGCGTGCTTGATTCAGGACTATTCCATCATTAATCCACATTATTTTCTCAGCAGTTATTTATTTATTTTTTAAAAAAAGATATTTTTTAATATCATGTTTTTACGACACATGAATTTCAAATTTGACACACTCGTGCCGTCATAAATTACGTAATTTTTTATTCTTTTTCTTGGAAGTTATTACAGTTTTTTGCCTACTTCGAGCCTGGCAATTTTCAAGTCATTTTTAAAATATTGTTATTTTAAATATGATATTATTACTACCTAAGTATTTGGAATCGTGCACTTCAGTATTTGCACTTTGATACAAGTATAAATATTTTCCATTCAATGATTGTCTTACTGCGATAAGTTGCACAACAATGATTATGTAGAATTCTTTGCATCACATAATGTATTGTGATGCCGCATTAAAAAATACTTGTTTGAACCGTGATTTTGCTAGCAGTATTTTTTAGCGCTAGCAAACTTTGCGACTGATTTTGAAAAATGAAATCACACTGTGCTATGGTGTAACTTCACAGAATTAACACAAGTGTTATTTTAGAGATAAATGCTCGTGCATATAATAATGATATTTCATTCCAGATGTTCAATTCCATAACAAGAATGGTGCTGAAAAGCAAAAAAGACCAAAAAGAAAGACAACAGCAATCACATGAAACAGTGAAACTACAGAAAGCTTCTCAAAGAGGAAAAAAGAAATGCTGCTAGTGTAAGTCAACTTAAATAAAAATTTAACTAGTTTTTAAGCTTTTATTTTTTTATTACTTAATTTTATTTTATCATAATTAAATTTTTATTGTGACATAAACTGTTAAGTACTCTTTTAAATTGTATTAATTGCAGTTGGTGTATTATATACACTTGTGCATAGTGTTTTTAAAAAATATTTGGAGATGCTTATTTTTGTTTTTAAAAGCCTCTTATACAGTTTCTTTTTACATTAAGTTTTTACAAAAAAGTGCCAAATTTTGTATTTTTCGAAATGAGTTTTTTGTTCTTTTCCATATCAATTGTCGCCATGATGCAAAAAGCGTGATTTCCACAATGTACAATGTTTTCGCAATTCATTCCATAGCCATTTCGGCATGCCGTTGGGCTGCAGCGTATGTCTGCATGCACATACACTGTGCCCAATTTATTGGAAAAAATTATTACATTAACTTGTACAACTCTGCAAGATATTTCCAATTTCAGGCTTCAAATCGAACCGAAAATCTTTTGAATTTTTCTGATTGTGCAGGGGTGATTGTATTCCTGGTGTATCCCAAATTTCCGGGTTTTTCGTATCATCCCTCCAGGCCTAGAAATTAGGAGATGACTGTGGGATTTTTTCACAGAATTCCACATATCTCAAGACCATTGATTCGCAAACTTCCACAACTCAAAAGGTAAAATCAGACAAAATTTTGCCTGTAATCTAAAATTTAAAGTAGGAATTAAGTTCTACAATCTAAAATTCAAATTTTGAAGCCTTAGCTAAATCCCATTAATGAGATGTTTTTATACGCATGGCTCATCTCCAATTTTATTTTTATTTTGTCTGATTTTCATTCTTTTTAATATTTGAAACTATGCGGAAATTTGCTAATGTCACGATTCATATTCATGTCATTATAATATCAAACATCGATTTTCATATTTACCTGATTTAAAAGTTACTCATTATGAATTGTATTCTCATGATTTAAAAATCGCACATCTCGATTCGTATTTACCTGATTTAAAAATCCAATATCGCTAAGTTGGCATATAATTTCTTGTCACTCATAATCTGTGTTTTTTTTTTTTTTTTTTTTTTTTTTTTTTTTTTTTTTTTTTTTTTTTTTTTTTNTTTTTTTTTTTTTTTTTTGTTCTAAGTATAAAATAAATTTATCAATCTTACTTTATTTGAAAATCATATTCACTCCTTTTGTGAAATTTTCACAAATCTTTGTGTAGTTGTGATTTATTTTAGAATTAAAACATTTAGTCTTTACAGTTAACTTGACCTATGTTATTTAACAAGAATGGCAGCCTTGAGACGCCATATTATTTTTAATGCATGTTTCAAATTCCTATTAAAATAAAACATTGCTTTGTTAAAATTGGTCAATGTTTTTTTTTTTTTTTTTTTTTTTTTTTTTTTTTTTTTTTTTTTTTTTTTAGCACTTAACATTTACAGTATTTTTGTGCACAACTGTACATTTTAATGCCCCCTTTTGTCCAGAGCACTAGGATCATTATATAGAGCATTGGCTGTACTATAATAAAGACAATATAAATAATATAAAAAAGTTGTTATTTTTTAAAAACAGTAAATATTAAAAACTTTCTTGTACTGCATTAAATTTTATTTGTTACATAAAACTGTAGTTTTAACTCTACCTTTAATACTTATCTAATTAATTGTGTTAGCCATTTTTAATTTCCAAAACAAAACCCTACTTCTGGAATATTTAAATTAGTTTTGGAAATAGAATTTCAATGAGGAAGAGGGCTTGGAATGACCCCTTTCCTCTCAACCAAAGATTACTGTGCTCTGGAAAAAATCCAGATTTTTCGCTAATTGCAATCCGGAAATCCAAAGTCCAGAAGTTTACAGAAATCATCGATCACATTTATGTATAAAAATTCTTGTATATTTTATTTATTACCATTAGAACTAGAATTTATACTTGGCATCTCTTTCATTTGTAAATATTTTTTCTTGTAGAATAATAAATGTGATTAGAGATAAAAGTAAATTAAATACATAATTATTAATTTAAATTATGCTGCATATAATTTATATAGAATTTCACATTGTGAAAATATCAATGATTTAAATTTATAAAGCCATTAATTTTTTGAAATGCGTCTAATGATTTTACTCAGGAAATTTTCAGGGCTTTTTTAATTGGGCTCACAATCACCCCTGCTCAACTGTCGAAGCATTGGAGACGAGGAGGGATAATTCTAAATATGCTTTTAATTATTTTCATGTATTTTTCGCAATTTAACTTATTGTGGTTATTTACTCTATTTGGCAGTATCTTTCGAAACATGTAAAATACAAGGCCATTATTCAATCACAGAAATATAAAGTGTGTAATAGTTTAGATTCTCTATTAATTTTGTTTTCTGATAAAATATACCACAGTTATGTAATTAGCATTTTTTGAAAGTAAGTTTATAATACATTTGTCTGTTTTTAGATACTCTATAAATATATTTGATTTTGCATAGTTTATGTTTAGAAAAAATTAGCATATACTAAATTAGTTATTGTTTTAAACTGTAAAAAAATTTATTTTAAAAACCTAAAAATAGACAAATGTGCAATTTTAAAGTTCTCAGAACCACAAATGTTAAAATTTTGTTGCTTTACATCTTTGAGAAATAATCTATAGAAGCTCTAAAAATAATCTAGTATTGTTTCTCCCAATCTTATAAAGCCATCTCATTTATTTTCAATTTTTCTTAAATGTTAATGTTTTGTCTAATGACATTCTATCATCAAATACTTGTTAAGATAGTGAAAAATTAAACCTTAAATCCAAGATGTTGAGGGAAGATGCCTGTAGCTACTTCTAGAATTATGTATTTATATCAAACTTTTTCCTATTCTTTTTGTATAGAAAAAAATATTATATGTTGATTATTTAATTATTTCTATATCTTTGAAAATATTCTAAAAGCAATTTATGGTGTTTAACTTTGTTATTAGGGTACCCTTCCTTTAAACGGATAATCCTCATAAATCAGGGGTTTGATTGTGAACCCAACTAAAAAAATCCATAAAATTTCTTGAGTAAAATCATTAATGATGAATTTCAAAACATTAATGTCTTTATAAATTTAAATCATTGTTATTTTCAAAGCATGAAATTCTAAATAAATTATATGCAGCATAATTTAAACGAATAATTATGTATAAGTTTACTTTTATCTCAAATCACTTTTATTATTCTACTAGAAAAAATATTTACAAATTAAAGAGATGCCAAGTATAAATTCTAGTTCTAATACTTTTAAGTAAAATATACAAGAATTTTTATACATAAATGTGATCAGGGGTTTCTTGAAACTTCTAGACCTTGGATTTCCGGATCACGGTTAGCGAAAAATCCGGATTTTTTCCGGGGCACAATCATGTGTGATAAATTTACAATTTTTTCAGTTCCACGAATGTCCCCTTAACCGAGGTTTCACTGTTTATATATATATTTCCGAAGTGTTATTATTAAAGTATCAATTTGTGTATTTATTTTCAGATAATATAATTATATGTTCCAAAGAAGAATGCTTTATACTCCATAGCTCAACTTTAGAAAGTTATCATTCATCATCAATTTGTGCAAGATAAGTGCCTGCAGTATTGAATGAAGCAAGTCCATCGAACATATCTGGGAACTGTTCCAACAAAATTCCATGCTACAATGGAACTTTTGCATGAGCTACACACGTTGAAAAAGCAGTACTCTCCAAGGGGGAAACATCACCATCCGATTTATTCTGTGAACTGAGAGCTTTCTTTTTTTTTCAGTAATGTAAATACATATTTTTAAGCTTGCCTTAGTGATTGAGGATCTGCTTTTAAAACTAGAATTCTTTTTTAAACCCTAAGGAGATTCTGCGGATAACCAGTTATGTAGATGATGAAACTCCGAAAAATATTCTGTAGCTTGATTTGAAAATTGCATTTAATTTGGTTAGCATTGCTTCAGTATTGCTATAGAGTATATGTTAACCATTTCAATTTCTAGAGTTATTAGTTCTTTTACTTGAGAATAATGTTTATAATTATGCTTAAGTGTATATTAATTTTTTTTACAAAGTTTGGTACATCCACGTGTATACTAGTCTAAATGTTGTTATAAATTATATATCTGTATAATTTATATTTTGTAGTAATTATTACTGTGGTTTTTATAATTTTGCAAATAAATGACATATTTTAATATTTAAATTGTACAAATAATTTCTTTCTGCAATGAATTGTTAATTTTTTTAAACATTCCTGAATGTATGATATTTTTTAAATTAATTATATAAAAAATTAATGAATTTAAATTGCTCATATTCATAAATAAATATTGTTTAAACAAGAACTTGTTTCAGTTTTAAAATTGTGACTATATGATTCGATTTATTGTAATAAAATAAATATAAAACTGTTAACATTAAATAATTATCTCCATACTTTGACAGATTATAGAAAAATTTCAGTGATTCAATTTTTAAATTTCCAATATTTATTTTAAAATTAGATAATTATGAAAATCTTATTTAACTTTTGCTATGTGTGGCTTTATTTTCTACTAATTAAAAAAAATAGTTATCATGAAAAGTTATGTTACAATAAGATGGCTTATGAGCTGCAGCTTTTTATCTTTGATGAGTTTTAATGTAAAATATATATATACAGGGTGCATCGCCAAATTTTTAAACAAAAAATAAGCACTCAAATATTTTTAAGTACTTTTTTCTAAAGAAAATCATAATTAGGATACATGCACTAAGAAAAAATATTTTCTTCCTATTGTGGAAAGTTCTTCATGTATATATATTAATAAACAAGATGCAAACACATTACGAAAACTTTATAATGATCAGGATAAATTAGCTATATTCTGACGAAGAACTTTTTCTTGATTATATTAACCTCCATAAAAAAAATTTATGCAAAATTTTAAATATATTCAATATTGAATCGTGCGTCCTGTTTTTCAAATTAATAATTACTTTGATTATGAAAAAAATAATTATTTTAATTCAAAATTATAATTAGTTAAACTCTAATTCAAAAAAGCTATTGGGTGTGTTTTATTAAGATTTAAATAAAAGTTACTTGTGTAATTATATTCAACAAAATATTAACAAGATTAATATTATTGATCATACTGAATTTATAAAGATATGTAAAGAATTAATCTAACTGAGAAAGCTTAATAAATTCATATTACTAATGTATGTTAGTGAATGGCCCATATTAAATTCTGTTACTTAGTTCAGTATTTCTTTAATAAAAGGATTAAAAAAAATTTCAATAGTTCTGGAATGTTAAGACAATAAGTAGTGAAGCTAAACATTTTTGTCAGAAATAAATTATTATATGGTCCCTACTTCCATAGTATTTAGCAAATCTGAAATTATTGAATTTTTTATTTCAATTGTTTTTAAAGAGAAGAGACAAATTAAAGTTTTTGGGAATGACAAATCTAAAGTAACATAAGATTTTCTACTGCATTCGCTATATATTAAATAGTGACACTTTTTTTTTAAACATCTTGCCTTCAAATATTATTCAGTTTTTTCCTAAAATAGCTTAAGAGAACTGAAATTTTTATAAAAAATTTTATGCAATTAGTGCATGATCCCTCAGTTAATGAAGACCTGGGATAAAAAATCTCAATTCTTATCTTTTGTAAATTTAATTAATAGAAAGGAAATGGAAATTTTGAGATGATGAAGCTATGAGATTGTTGAATGCTCTGGACCTGCATGAAAATACGTAATAAATGTATGAACCCCAAGTCAAGATCAATTATGGTAATAAAATATTGTTAAAAGGCCATTGGCTTGCCAGTGACAAAGAGGATGGTGCTTCGCCAGCTATGAAATTCACAAGAAAAGAAAAAAAATTTGATATTTGGTGAGAAAAAATTAAGCACTGTTTAGATTGTTCCTATAATCAGCAAAAATTCGAGAAGTTTTTCGCTTCGATTTCAAAGGGCAGAAAATGAAGCATGAGATATTTTGCAAAATGCAGTAGAGTTGCAGTGCAAGAATCCTTCCAACCGAATCCACCTCAATATAAGCACTTGCGAACTGCAAGTATTTCATCAAACATGTAAAATGATTGACACTTTCATACAGTATGCCAAAATGGATTGTGGTTGATTGAATTGTGAAAGGAACAATATGAAAACCACGCTTTTTGCGTAATTCGCGGCTAAAATCGACATGGTAAAGGAAAAAATCTTTCTTTGGAAGGGGGTTAATTAAGCACCTTTTAAAAATGCTATGCACCCTGTATATTTATATATATAAATTTTGTAGCTTGTGATGACAATGAAAATCTTGCTAAACAGCTTTATAAAATAATTTATTTATTATAGTATTTAAAAATATTTGAGAAAATAATTTATAGAATAAGAGCAAAATGAAATCAATGTGCTTAAAAATTGCTTTTATAAAATTATCTTTAATAGCTAACTTTTGTGTTTCAATAGTTTTGCTGTCAACTTTCTGTTGCTTATTTTTTAAAGGTATTTTTTTATTTCAGTTAAACCATTCCCATTCTTTATTTTATATTTAAAGCAATTACCATTATCTAACAATTTTAAAGATGTGCATTTAAAGGTTTGGCAAGTTTTTTTCTTCCAATATAGCAGAGTTGTATACACTTGACAGGAATACCAACTTCTATAGATTTTCTTTAATTCCTACGGATTTCAGCCAAACTACTGTCTTGTCATTTTTACTTCCTGTTGTATTCACTCAGTGGTTGCTTTCTTTCTAAGTTTTATAAACACTTTTAAAAGATTTTTTTTAATTTAATTTTTTAGTTCAGGAAATAAAAAATTCCGATTTGGGAGTCATACTTTATGTTAAGCTTATTTTTGCTAAACATCCTTTACTCGACACATATTGTTTTGATTCTTTCTTAAATATAAAAAATAATTATTCGATCTGTTAAACGGATTTCAAAACTTATACCTTGAAGCAGATTTTATGGATTATTTATTAAAGTAGTTACACATATATTTATGAGTTGAACATTTTTCGAAATTTACATTATCTAATGTTAACAAGTTCTTGTTATAACTTTAATGTATGAATATGTAATTACGCAGACATATTGTTTGTGGAAATCAAGTTATAAATACCAAATTTGTCTTTTTTTAAAAGGCAAAAATTGGTAATTAATAATTTTAAAAAAACACCTTTTTTTTTTCTAAAAGTCACATAAAAATTTTCTGCACGCAACGAAATATTAAATAATTTATATGTATAGCTGCACTTTAATAAAATTCACACATATTTTTTATTGATTCTGAAATAGGTTTCATTGTTGCATTATAGAAACCTATTTTCAGGTGATCAACAAAGAAGTTTATTTATACATTAGAGTCTCTAATTCCCAATAATATCTGCAGTGAGTAAAGATTCTTAAAAAAAAATGTGTTTTTCAACTAAATTTATAGAGTTTTTTTAATTTTAAATATAAAAAAGCATCAAGGCATTTTTTTTAATGACCTTTAGTATATTCTAATATTTCTCTTGATACTTTCTTTTGATGTTATTATTTCTTATTATGTACTCCTTTTTATTGTACAAAAAGTTTTGTGTTACAGAAATAAATATGGTTTAAATTAAGTAATATAAAAATCAGAGAATAAAAAGAAAGAAAAAGTGTTCACTGTTTTAACTATGTGCAGACTTTTAGACTATGTTGTTAAAATAGCTGGGGGAAAAAAATTCTTTTTACTTTAGGAAAAATGTATATAAAACTTTTAACATGTTTATAAGTAGGACATCGTATACGGCCAAAAAAAATTTACTGATATTTATCCAATAATCATGGAAAAAAGGCAATTAAATAAATATCAGTATTCTACAAAATATTTTACTCCAAATTGTGTTTATTAGAGACACTATTGTATAAAGAATCTTAGAAAATTAATCAATTGTACAGTACATTGTATTTTCATTTCAGAGTTATTCAGTAAATTCATAATAAAATTTTTAACTTGAAATTTCAAATTGTGTATTCATTTATTTCACAGTTGTTTAGTTTAAATTGGTGTTTATAATCTTTATTTATAAAATGAATCCAGGCTGCTCAGTAAAATGTCTTTTTGAAACCGAACTATCCTTCAATTTAATAGATATTTTGAGATTTTAATAAATCTTAATCTGGTCTTATGATTACTTCTTGCGGCGTCAATTCTAACTAAGGAGTCTGGATAATATGGACAGGAAATAATAGCTACATGCTGTGTGTGGGAAAAAATGTGCACTTGTCTTTTAAAAATGAAGTTGTAAACTTGTTTCCAGGAGCTTCTGCTCCATTTACAGTTTGCAATTATTTTTAATTTTTTTTATTTTCCTTAATAAAAATTAGAATGGTATCATCATTATACAGAAAGAGTATTAAAATAGACTGTAAATAAAAATCTGATGGATTAAAATTGCAGTTGATATGCATTTACGATGATATGGTTCTAAATGATAAACTCAATACGAAAGCATAACATGTACAAAAAATAAAAAAATTTTGTATATTAATTTTTCACCATAAAAAAAATTAAGCTAATAAATAAAAGCCTAAATGTCAGAAAAATATGTAGATAATTGATGAAGTCAATCTAATGTAAATCAGTACTATAATAATTTATGTGGTATTATATAATTAAATATTTATTCCAAGGAAATTATATATATATTTGTTTTTTTTTAAAAACTAAAGTTCATGGAAAGAATTTTAAGCATATCATGCTATTTAACAAAATTTTAAGGATTCTTAAGCAGCACCATATTTCAAAAATATTTAGATCTAACTAAGATCATATACATTTTTACATACTTGGTGTGCTGAGCATAGCATAGAGCATTTGCCTCAAAATGAGGTAAACCAGGTTTGAATCCCAGCCTTAGCTAGTCTACGAATTCCGCTTCCGACTTGTACCAACCACAGTGCTGACGTGGAATATACTCAGAGGTTGATGGATCATGGGTTAAGAGTCCCCTTGCAGTGAGGCTAACCGTAGGAGGTTCTTGTGGTCTTCCTCGCCATATAACAGAAACACGTTAATTCCATCAAAAAGCCCTCCACGACAGCAAATTTCTCCCAGTACTTAATCTAGGAGTTCAAAATTACAAGGCTACATAGTGGGACATTAGTAGTCGTAAACCCAAAAATTGGGTCGGTTGTTCAAGGACAGTTATAAAATGAAATACTGTGAGTGCTAAGTTAACAGTAAAATATATTTATGCTAATTGAACCAGCAACAATCATCCAGGTTGGATCCAAAGCACACCATGCATATACCATCAGATTTTGCTGGCCTAACAAAAATAAATTATCTTTCTTAAAAATGTTA